CGGCACCAGTGATGCTGGGAATATGCAATCTGTCTGCAGGTTTATCTGCCATCACCTTCTCAAAATAATTAATTATATTCTATGCAGTTAATTGAGATGTTGCCATAGTAATAATGTGTATATTTTCATTGGTTGGTGTCTCTACATGCCATTGCATTGAAATAATTAAACGATTAAGGTAATAGAGGAAGGATCTCTTAAACAATCAAGGCACTTGCTAGTTCTATAAATGAGAGTGTAGCTCATATGATCAAAGTATCTGACAGTCCCGGCACTTTTCCCAAAGCTCATTTAATGCACAGTCCAGGCAGAAAGAAGCAGAGGTGTCAGTCGCCTCTCAGCTGGTTTAAATTCTGTTCTTGACTTTTGTCTTTCCTCTCTGCGCCCCTGCTCCTCACTGCCTCTGAGTGATATTTCCTCCTCACCTAATCTGCACTCTGCGCTGGAAAACTCCTCCTAATGTTAGTGCGTGTGTGAGTGCTGCTGCGCGTGGAGCCTGGGCCTTAATGTGAGCCAGCACAGCCTTTTAATATCAGCCTCCGCAGTAGAGGAAGCACTAAGCAGACACGCTGCATACTGAGGAGGGGGATTGGCTTTTGAACGACACCAACGATTCATCAACTCCACCAATCTGTGGCCAGCACCCCCAGTGTCACTGTCACAAACATGCACGTGAGGCCACATAGTATGATCCCTCTGCATCACAGCGAAAAGAAAAGGCAGATATTCACTGAGGAATGCTTGAGCGGCTCAGTGGAAGGCGATACAACCAAACATGAACATGAATTTGTAAAGCAGCGGGCAAAGGGTGGATAATGAGAGAGAAGAGGTGCTTTAGGACAGCAGAGAGCACTTTGCCCAAAGCTGGAGCAAGACAGAGGGCACTGCATGGGACACAAGGGGATGAGAAGACACTGGAAGGAAAACATAGACTTACTCTTATCTGCGGAGAGCTTAATTGCCTTTGATGAGACTAATTGGGGCTTTGTGAAGTCTAATGGTGAAGGAGTCCTCCGAGACAACAAAGGACATTACTGAAACGGCCCCTCAACAGAGCAAAGTCCCACTTGTCTCTTCTGTCCTGGCTGATTGATACACTCAGCACATTCATTTCAATAACAAGAATACTCTGTGTATTTTAGTTATTATAAATTACTGGAAACTCCCATTGTGTCGTTCTATAGCCTCAGCCTTGATTCATCCATGCATGGGGATAGCACAAGAACTATTGTTACGGTTAAATTATAGGGAAATCAAATGTGCCTTATATGTTATAGCTTACATCCAGCTTTACTTTAGTGAGTTTTCTTAAACATCTGTGTATAAAAAGGCAAGAAAGCAAAAGACAAGGAGGCGTGCCAGGCAAAGGTGGGTCATGATGATTCTAGCACTTTGAAATCTAGGTCCTTATAAAAAAAAGTTTGCTCAACAGCGCGCAGAGCAGTTTGCTGGGTAGGGGCTGTTTGCAGTGTAGCAGCGGTAGCAGCAGTATTGGGTATGTGTTGACTTAATTAGGTCTGCTAGCTGCTCGCTTTCCTCTCCTCAGCAGAAGTTGATTAGCAATGCCAGCTGTCCCCAATGTAATTCAGTGTGCGCATGTGTGTGGCTGCCCGCGTGCGCTCCGTATATAAGTTTATGCATGTTTGTGAGTGTTTGTGTGTGTAGACGCCATCGCTGCCAGCTGCCACACAGTGCTGCCAATCCTCCATGATTAGTACCCACTGGCAACTGGGCGCAAACTGGTGCCAAACAGACCCAGGAGGGCAACATAGCCCATGGTAATCCACTGCTCATCTCTCCTAGCATTTTCCTTTCTCCTCTACCTTTTTTAGATCTACATTTGAATCGACTACTTAAAGGCTTTGTGCCGAGTTGTTGTCTACAGAGGTGGAAGAACACTAAAGTAGTGGAGAGAAAGAAGCAAGCCAAATTGTCACTGGCAAAAGTTTAAAACAAAATAAAGTTTCTCCATTCAGTATTGTGTGACTACTGCTAATAATACTACAACTTATTCCATTACTATTATATTGCTACTCTGACTGGTACTCCTATTAATCATCAATAAATACAGTAATCCTTGTTAGCTATTACCATTTAAGCTTCACTCTTAAGGTGCCAGGGTTTTTCACACATTTTAGAAAGACAGAAATCAAAGAAAATAGAAAGAGAGAAAACGTTTGTGGAAAGTCAGGTTGCTTTATAGGAAGTGTCTTGGATTCAGGGGCTCATGTTGCCATTTTTTAGCGAATGGGTTAATACTGGCAAAACAAATTACTTCCTCTCTGCTAATCTTTCTCTGATAGCCCAAAACAGACATTCAAGCTTGTCCATTTATGCCTTTAGGGCCCAGAGTATACACAGGCTGATAAAGTAGCAAGAGGGAGAGCTTCAAATGCAGTCCCGGGCAGAGGCTGAAGCGATCAGTGTGAAGAGTCAGAATGGACCCATGCCTGGTCGCGGTTGACTGTGTTGCCGCAGAGTTGCCAGCGCTTGGCAAGAGCAGCATACCAGACTCTCCCAGTGGGTGACCCCCTCTCCACTGCTCACCTGTTGAAACTCTCCTTGCTCACAGAAGCCCAAAGGCGGAGAGAGACGAGGAATGAATTTACTGAAAAAAAGCAAGTCCTGAATAAGTGGATGTGACAAGGTGAAAGAGAGAAGGGAGAGATGGGGCTTTTATGCACACTCTTTTCGCACATGCCTGGCACATTAGAAGGCCGCGCACACATTTATGTACATGGCTCCATGGGTTTGGCAGAGCACGGGCTGTTGGGCAGCTCTGGCACGGCAGCGGCAGCCTACCCATCTGCCCTCTGTCGTATAATGTAGTTACATGTCATGTGTATGCAGAGGCTGTTCTTTTAGGGCAGTAAAATAACGTATAGTGTCTGATGTTAGTCTGGTGATAAGGCTCAGGCTCCAGGCTTTGTGGGCTATAGAGCTGCACTTTACTGCCAGTTTATCTTTTTATTTTGAACTTGAAAGAAGTCAGGTAAATCCAGAAACACCACAACATACTGTCTTCATCTTATTAGAAAACATGTTATCTTTGTGAAAGAGCCCTGTGAGTCGCTACTTAATGCTTTGGGCTGAGAGATGATTGGGGTGAGGGCGGGTGGTTCTTATTTACTTTTTGTCTAAAGCTGATCTGTGATAGAGGCCAAACATATATGCAAGTGAAAACTATTGATCGAACCATAATGTTTTGCGGGCAGGGAACTTTGAGCAGGGGGTTTGGAAGTTAGGTACTCCAGCTTTAACTTAGCGGCATCTTAATTCATTTCTGTTTGTTATTGTTCAGTTGGGGCCTTTTGGAGCTACTATCTTAACCTAAGTAGCTCAAAATCTAGAGAAAGGTCCCATGATGTTGCTTTGGGACTTCCATATTTGGCAAGCAGCATTGAATAACAGTTTGGGTTTTGATTTACTCAGTCACACTCATAGTAAATTAGAATAGTGATTAAAAAGTCTATACAAGAATAAAGAAACACAAATAGTTGACACAGGTGATTAATAATATTTCCTTTACGCAACTGACTCTGTAAACATCACAATAAAATGTATTTTTGTTTTAACCTAAGTGAAAAAGCAGTAGTCTCATGGGACTTCACAATAGTTGTCAATTGCTCAACAACAGATCAGCGAATCAAACCGTTTGAACACAGGGAATACAATAATAACAAGGTCCACAGGGCAGCGGGATGACCAATGTCCACAAATGCTAATAAATGTGCATGAAAATCACTAACGAACCTTAATGTGGTGAATGTATGCGTTTTCATCTTGTCCTATTCAAATAAACATACAAAGCATTTTTCATTGGACCTGCATCGCGTGGTAATTGTGATGCATCGACTTGGATTTGCACAGTAATTGGGACATATACCGAGTCGCAGAAAATACGCTTGCAATATGACACACTTGCTCTCTCAATTGTGATTTTGTCAAATGTTGGCAATTGCGGGCGAGGCTTACGGCCCTAAGTCTATCAGCGGTTGAGATTACAGACAGATTTATTGTGATTCGCGCTCTCCCATGGGACCTGTGGCCTTGCATTGGTTAATCACTGCTTCACATTCACTACCACACGATATCTGTGAGCTCTGATGTAACACTGCACTCTGCATGTTTTGTGTTGTGCCATGAAGAATGTCTGCGGTCTCCTGCTGGATACTGATTCATACTTTGACAGGGTTAAATCTCAATAATCCCACTAATCAAAAGGTTAAGCCTCCCCCGTGACCTTCACCTGCTTCATAAAAAAAGGCCAAACACTGCTTCTCCAATGATTTCTACAAGCTTCTTCCCTGAATTATTGAGTCACGTTATTGAATTCAAAATTGTTTAGCATGCACATTTGCCACAGAGCAACAGAGCGGAGAAATGACAGCAAATAATGCGTTTTCCAAGATGCTTTTAGCAGATATTGCGAAGACTTAATAAAATAATGTTGGCTGCTTTTATTGCATTGTTTAAATTATTCATTTGTTCAGTGAAGATCCAAGGTGACAAATGCACAGGGCTACAGTAGGAACTCCCGCCTGAGGCTTATGGTGCATGCTTCACTATTCAAAAGCCGAACAGTTTGGAATTTGAAAGTTATTTTGGAAAGATTTTGTCAGTGTATATCCAACTCTACACAAGACAAACAAACTTTAAGTGCGTCTTTTTGTTTTATATTGCGTGTGTCCTCTATCACCACTTATCTGGAAAACTCAAGAAAAAAAAAGAGAAGAGACATATGGCAGTAAATTTAAATGGCATATTGTGGTTGACAAAGTAAGAGAAGCAAAGGTGTTTTTGTTTTAAAAAAAAATATTGGGGTAGTTTCTGATATTCCATAAGATAATTGGAGATATAATGATTAGACAACATAATGATGTCGACATTGGACAGAGTTTGCATTGCCAAAACAAAACAAAATAAGATCACTTGTTGCCATTTGAGAACAGAAAGAGTAAAAGTGTATACAATTGGATGCCGGCACATTAGCGCATTACCTGTGTAGATGAATCGGCCAGGTGTGCCTTTGCAGAACTGTTTGGATTTGTAGGACAGCGTGACCTCCACTACCCCCGGGATGTGTCTGGGCGGAGTCTGCACTCGAATGGCGTGGGGTGTGATCAACTACAGCGAGAGAGAGAAAGAGAGAGAGAGAGAGGGCACAAAGATTAATGCAACAAAACAGCAGCGCTAAAACATGCACTCAGGGGGACAGTCCAGGCCTTTTGCAGCTTTTGACTCTTCTGCTTTGTATAATCAGCCTGAAAATGATGCGTTAGCGCCAAAGCCCTCAGGTGGCCCTTGTAGCCCGAGGCAATGTCACCAGGAGGCCTAGGATGGTTATCAGGGCTGACATGCATCCAGTTAGAGAGCTTCAAAAGCAGTTTGGAGTTTATGAATAAAACACACTATTCACTGCATATTTACAACATTGTTACACAATATAATCTGTTTGTCTGTGTTTGGCCCTGTCTCTGTGTCTGTCAACAGTCTACCAACATTAAAGAACCACTATGGCATCACTACAATCCAATTAGCATGATCCCCAACAATACAGTTTTACTCCTATTGTGAGAATTACAAAGGCCTACAACCATTGTCGAAGATTTACAACTTGTCGTCTTGGTCTATGGATTACTATCAGTATGCTCTATGCTGAATGCCCGTCTTTTAAGTCATAAACCGGAAATGTTCAGCCTTTTTAAACAAATGCAGTTTAATTCATTATCTTCTTCATTATCTGACCTCAGTGGGAATGACACTTCACTCACATACTGTTGGTGTTTCTTTGTGTGAGCTTGAAACGCACATTCAATCGTTCAATGAGAGAAATTACATTATGATAAAGGTTTTAAAAAATGATGCCTGTTTTTGACCATAGACTGTAAATATTAACAGAGGTAGGCATGCCTATCTACGCCGTTCTAACTAAGGTGCCACAACTTCCGCGGTCAATGGGCAGTTTCAAAATGGCCGCGGGGGCTGGAAAATGTGAAAAAAAGCATCTGCGCATGCGTCAGCCGGCACGAGCCCCATTCATTTAACGAGTGACTTCAAAAATTCACAGCCAGTAAACTAGACTGGTCCAAAAAAAAAAATCACTCCCCTCAGCATTGACACACATGTGGAACGGAGCTTTGGGCTAAGAGCCGACTTTTGGACCATCCTGTGAAGATGTTTTCGAGAGGTCAGATAATGCTATATGTTAGCATTGAATAATTCTCATTCTGGTTCCACCCCCATTGGCCCGGGGTGGTATGGCAAGCATGTCAGCGCACGTCATTTTGGCCACTTTTGAGCTGAGACCCGCCCCCACTGATTTTGACCCAGTACTATAATGTATTTTTAATAACAATAGTTTTTCCCTCTCCATGAGTCATGAAGAGAAGATTTCCAGAGCAATGACACAATACTTTTGAAATTTACTTTAGAGTTTGTGTATTTTTTCACACTGGTACTTTTGTCTTGTTTACAGTATTTCTTAAAAACCTGTCACATACTTTTGCAGTTCAGTTGTAGATGTGCAGCAGGTATGCATGTTGAAAGGTCTTTGAAGCCAAATATAACAGGACTAACACTATAGCTTTCAAAACTCACACTCTCTCAAAAGCTATCCACGCTGCTGCTGTGTACTCTATGTGTGTGTACACGTCTGTCTGCTTGTGTGTGTGTGTGTGTGCGTGCGCATGTGTGTGTATGCTGGTGCAAATGTCCCTTTCATTGCTCACTTAGCCGGGCTTTCATTCTACCATTGTCTGCCCTAGCTCACCTCTCCGCGAGACAATATAGGAGCTTTTTATAGAATTATTCCTTTACTAAAGAGAAAGCTGTTTAGCGCTGCCGCAAGCTGACCTTCAATTTCACACATACACTGAATTTACATTTTAGTCATGTGGCAGATGCTCCAGAAGGGATTGGTATTGTACAGCGCACATTTCATTACCAACATAATAAAAGACAGGAAGGCAGCAGGACGTAGTGAATAAAATCGGAGCTGGCATTGAGGATCCTGAGCATATGTTAGGCTATATAGCAATTCCACAGTCTATGATTAGCATTTCATTATTGATTAATACATAAAGTAAAAGAAACTAACACCACAGTGCTTGCAAGGATTCAACTTTATTTTCAGTGGGTGATTGAATAAGGTAAAAATCGAAGGGCAAAGTCAGAAAGGTCCAATGCTCAAGTTCTTTCAAGTTATATTTTCAAACTTTTCTCTCCAGCTACCTGAGGTTTGCAAGTGAGGTGATGCATAATTAACTGTTGAAAGGTGCTGACTTGGTTTTAGACTAAATATACTATGACATATACTATTTTATTGAATTTGAAGTTTTGAGGAGAAACATGTTTTTCTGACCATTAATAGAAGGATCTTAGAAACTTTAAACTATTCAGCATCAACCATTGTTTCATCAGATGACTTAATAGTAAGAGCTGATAGTACGTAAAATTCTATACCTTTGGTGGAGTAGCAGTGCTATGGTAGGTGTAAATCCTCAAAAATTACCCATAGTAGACTTATCCCATCTCTAAACACATCTATAATTCACTTGATATTGTAACTTATCTTATACAAGCTGTCCTGCAAACACTCATTAGCAGGGGCCAATAGGTAACCATTGACCACCAATTGCCATACTGTATCTCTCCTCAGGATGGGACATGGCTCTTTCTACAGTCTGAATATGGTGGGGAATTTATGTCCAACTAATCTATACAATCCTATTAAAACGGCCATTAATGTGACTTACCTCACTCCAGACCAGCATGGTTCCGAATATGACTTGTAGGCCGTCGAAGAAGTTATCCCCTATGATGATGACCGTTGCGCCTCCGGTGGTCCAGCCTTCACTGGGGCTGATGGCTTTAATGCTGGGGGTTGCTGCAAAGATTCACAGTCACAATAGATTAGATCCTTAGTATCCTTATGACAGCCCATAAAGGTTGGTAACATGGACATTTTCTGCCATCACTTTACACACATACATTAGACACACATCACCTCTCCACTCGGCTCCCAGGGGTCGGGGCCCGAGTGAGGAATACTAATCAGAGTGATTATACCGAGCCCGTTATTAAACATCACCCCTGGCCCGTGAGTGAGGGCAGTGCGGTGCGCTTGTTTTACGACACGTGGCGAGGCGTGCGGGCGTGTAAATGTCAGGTGAGCTGAGTGTCTGATCAAAGGCCACGCGACCGGGGAGCACCACACTGCCAACTGTGGATGTGCCCTCTGCATACACCGCCTTCATTACACTGAAGCACTTATCTCCGGCTCAACTGCCTCAGATCTACAGTGTGTGTCCAGTCATGACCACAAACAATGACTTGGGCTTAACACAATGAGGTATAAGGCTGTACTCAAAAACTGTACAATAAAGAGGTGGCAGTGCTTTTTGTGCAAATCAAAGACACTTCATATGGAATTATTCAGTCTCTCCATACACTGTGGTGGTAAACTACTACTGTAGCCACAGCTGACCTGGGGTAGAATGATGGAAGGAAGGTAGCTAATCTATGCAATCGACCCCCCTGACCATCACCAATCATTCACGCACACCAGGCAATGTGAGTGAAGTGTCTTGCCAAAGGACACAACAGCAGTTTGGCACTTTACAGCCGCAACCCCACTGTGGCTCTTGGTTTTCGAAGAGGTCTCCCATCACAGTGCTAACCAGGCCCTGTCCTGCTTAGTTTCTGAGGTCTGACAGGATCAATTGCAGGTGGCATGTGGGAAAAAACTCTAAATGTTTGGATTTGGGATTGAATTTATCCAATGCTTTTACGTCTTAGGACTGCAAAGGAATATAGAATGTGACTACAACCCACTCCACAATACACAAATGTTTTCCGGAAAGAAAATCCAGCACAGTATTTTGGAATTCCCTAATGACCACACAAAATGACGTGGGCTTGGTATATTTGTACGACATTTTAATATCTTCTTATAAAACATATTCTTTGTCTGAAAAATCTGATTGAAACAATAACGATAAACCAAAATTTCAATAAGCACTATTCACTCTCAGGTTTGACCTTATCTATGGGCCGTATGATCCCACAGATTACCAAATGTGATTGAAGAAAAGCGCAGCAATGGGAAAATACATGTTTACACAAGCTAAATCTCCTTTCCTTTACAGATATGCAGCTTGTCTGACATGTTGTTATTCAGTAAAGTGGCATAATCCACTTTAGCCTAGGCCGACTTTTTTCCCCACAAGCTTTGCCTTTTGCTCTTTGCCTGACTCCCTGTTCTGTTGATCCTTTCCAACAAGCTGCAGTGATATTTAGCCTGCAGAGATCAACGTTCACCATGCGGCAATCTGTGGCCATAATCATGGACTCAGATGCCTCCTTTCACAGATATAATGTGTGTGCGTGGATTAAGCAGATGGTGGAACGTGAATGCATGTGATAGGATTATACTTTGGGGTGTTCCTCGATGCCATCTGTTCGGCTGGGTGCGTTGCTCATCTATTAAGGCATATTATGGGACCCCAAACTTGAGTATCCTGTTCACAAACTCGTAAAGAGATGTAGGAAAAGATAAAACCCCTATATTTCCATTTGTGTAAGTCTATTTATCTTTAGATCACTCAATAAGGCTCAATAAGGCTGCCCCCCCCCCCCCCCACACACACACACACACACACACACACACACTCAGACTCCAAACTCTGCTCTAAGAATAGAAATCAAAGGTAAATAGATTTTTTTTTCAAGTCAAGATGATTCAATTGCTAAAAAGCTTAAAGTTTACTGCCTTGTGTGACTGTTTCTATCTTGTTTTGTTCAGCACTTTGAGTTGCCTTGTGTACAAAGAGTGCTATACAAATAAAGTTGCTTTGCCTTGCCTAAAAGTTGCAGAGAGGATTTTTTGATAGAGGGGTCGCCACATGCGTTCTTCAAACTCAAAAGTGTAAGGAAAGTGTCTTTGCTCAGACTGAAATGACCCACAATAAGGCATTCAAAATCAAATACTTTTTATTGATAAAAAATATCCTGACAAACATGGATAGGGCTGGGACGGGTCATTTCCCCACAGATCTGATACCATTTATTTTGGATTGCCCCTTGAGTTGAATCATCTATTTTTTTAGAAAGGGGGTCCTCCAAAAAGATCTGAACCCGGACTGGAGGCTCGTCTCTGTGGAGTACAATGCCTCACCTGGAACACTTCAGGCAAACCAATACCATCTCCTTGGAGGCCAACAATTGACTGACCCACCACCAGAAAAGGTACATTTCTTTTGGTCCAATAAAACTTTAAGAAAGTTGACAACGCTGAGGAAAATATACAATAAAAAGCAGCGACCCTTTGACCTCAAATGCACTTGAGACAAAGTGTCTATATTAAGAGCATGACACAGTTATGGCAGTTCCAATAATGCCTCAAATATGTCTTTGTGAACTCAATCACTTGTGAGACCTTTGTGGGACAACTGGACCACTTTACCTCTTGAGAATATCCATTAAAACGACTTCACCATGACATTCAATCGTAACTCAATCTTCGGCCGGGCCATGTAAATCTCTGCTTAGTTTTTCTGTCATTATCATCCCTGAGGTTGACTCTCCTCATAGACAAAAAATATGTTTCTCTTATTCAATGTCTGGGAAATCGAAATGAGAAAATAACTGGATTAGGGACTTGGGAATCAGTGCGGGCTCCTAAATCATGTGCACATGTCATTATAAAGTATTAAAGGTTTGGTCTGACTGAGCATGCGGGGGTGTATCTCTATGCTGCATGGGCGCGTTGTAGAACTGGAGGGATGGGGAGCGATGGAGGCTGTAGGATAAAAGCCCGTCTCTGAGGAAATAAAGCTAGTGTTGGCTTTAAGCAGAACAGACCTCATAAGACACATCGTGCTTATGCCAGCCAGAGCAGGGGCCTGGAGGCACAGACCTGGGGGGAGCAGGCCACCAGGGACGCACAATGAGCTACCACACCACTACAGCATCTCTTAGCACAAGTTAGAAACCCTACAAGAGAGGGAAGTGGGAATCTGAGCGGCAGCAGGAGGCAGATAAGGAAGCAAGAGGAGGTTTTAGCGGGATACTCAGGAGACAAGAGTGCCAGACATAAAGCTGGGGAAGAGGGGAGGGCACGGCTGATCAGACAAAGAGGCTTGGGGAGGCAGGGAGAGGCTTTTTTCTGAAGCTTTTGTTCTTTTATTATGAGGCTTTTCCGTACCGTGTTCGAGGTAAGAGGGGGTGCCTTCAGACGGGTCCAGTCTCCGAGCCCTGCGCCCGTGTTTGGAGTTGTTGTGCACAAACATGTTGTCAGACACGGCCAGGACGTGACCCTCCACGCTCACCGTAGTTGACACAACCACCTGCGAGAAAGATGAGAGATACATTCTAATCAGAAAGGTGGGGATTGAATGTCAGGCAAAACATAATGTCACGGGGTGGACTTTTTGTTGTTTTAACTGGTTTTATTGTGATGTGTCAGTTGTCTTGTGTTTTTTTAGTTCTACTTTCTTCCCCGCCTAATATGTGTTCACCTGTGTCTCCATGTGTGCTTTTCCCCACTTATTGTCCTTCCCATGTCTTGTTCCTGGCTTCTGTGACATTTCTGTGTCTATATTTATCCTGGTTTCCATTCAACGTGTCGTGCATTTTGAATTTTGTTTCAATACATGACAGAAAAATATAAATCTGACACCAGCTGCAAACTTCAGAATTGATGCATAGTTGCAAAGTTTACAAGGTGTTTTTATGAATGCATTATGTACATTGGGAATAGGGATTTTGTAGGTATCAGACAGGCATTCATCTCTTGTTTATATATTACGCACATGTATGTCCACCTGATCTGTGGAAATGGCAGGTAAAAATCTAGGGACTGAAAAAATACAGAACATATGTTACCTGAAAACGCCTCATGTCTCGAGGGTTCCCTGCATTTTTCAGGCAGTTCTGGTTACACTTGAGGAAGAACTTGAGGAAGAACCTGCGACACACAAGAGACAAGCAGGTTGTGAGTAAAGGTGCACCACTTGTAAAATGGCAACAGCCAGAACAGATACAGAGTGAATAAAAACACAAAATAAAACCAATCAAATAGCTTTGTCGGGCGCCGGTCATCCATCAAAGATATTCTCTTTGTAGAAAGGCTGTGGGTTATTGAGTAAGTTGCTAGCTTGTATATCCATCTCGCTGCCACTGTCACAGCCATAAAGTGCAGTGGGCAGACGCCTCCACAGCTGTGCTGCGTAACACTGCTTCTGTTGTAGCGGCAATGCAGTGGCGCGCTGTTGCCATTCCTGCCTCTCTCAATCTCAGTGTGAGAGACCACATCAACAGCACCTGCCATGCATTATTAATAGGCTGAGATGGCAAGTATGGCTACCCGCATCAATACTTAATGAGAGGGGGAGGAGGGAGGGTTAGGAGTTAAGGTTGGGGGGAGTCAGGGCTGGGGGGCTGGCGAGCATCGGAGGCCTAAGCAGCAAAAAAAGGACAATTTATTCCCTATAGCCCCACCCTTAGGAGCTGACAACTTCTTTAGCACCAAACTACTCTACTCCATTCACTCGGCAAGCCTCTAAAAACAAACACAAAGAATCAAATGATCCGAGAAGTAAACAGCCTGTGTACAAATAAACAGAAGGCCTTAAAAGAGGGAAATAAAACTACTACATTTCCCTCCGCCGCCTCTTTCTCCTCCTTCTGCCTTTGAGAGAGCTCAAAGAAGTGCTGACAGCTGAAAGTGCTTACAATACAGATCTCCAGCAGCCACAGAGAGAATCACTCCTATGCTCAGCTTTTCTTTCATATGTCTTATTTTCTCCCCTCTGTTCATTTGTTATGGCTAGAATTGTGCACTGGGCAGCGCGTTTGGAGCCAACCGCCTTAGATATAATCATCCACGCGCACCATGTCAAAAGAAACAGTAAGCAGCGATGCCTCGGACAATTGCTTCATCTGAGGGAAAAAAGCGAAAAAAACAACAGAGAAGATGAATGGACAGAGCCGAGTTGTGTCTTATTTCAAAAGGCTGCGCGCATTACAACGATCTGATGTAATACAAGAGCGGGGAATATGTACATGGACAGTTTAAATGTGTGACAGCTGGTTAGCACAATGCACACCACTCTTCGATGAGAGAAAAAAGCGCCTTTGATGTCTTGAAAAGTGTACAGTGGTTTATTTTACTGATTATTATGTTTTCTGTGGCTTCTATGAAAGGTTAAGGACAGCACTATAGAGTTGATGAATCATGAAGACCATTATGGAAAGCACACATTGTAGCTTGTACTGATTTTTTTTCAATCGGTAAAATTATCCAATATCTTTTTTGTAGAAAGCAATAATCAATGGCAGTATTGATCTCAACTGTGTCTATTGTCAAGCCCACAAATTAAAACATTCAGAGTAGCAGAATTGCATGAGCTTCGGAATCTATAGGACACTTTCAATACAGCGAATTGGCTTCGAACGAATTATTTATTTATGTTATTGAATTTAGTGGTGCTTTATTTCTTATAACGTTTTTTAAGGCTCCATCTTAAAAACAAAAAAATCATGCCCTAAAAGGTTAGCATACAATCCTTTCTTCAGCTCTATTGCTTTTTTATTTCTATTAATTGGTTGAAGAGAACCAATTAAAATGAAAGCCATTCATATTTTTTACAAAGATGCTAATGTTTGTGGAGAGACAAAAGATTCCAACAATCTAATGCCAAAAAAAATCAAAGCTGTTGACACTTTGACGTTGACTGACTGAGACACTGGCTGTTCGGATGACTTGGTGAAACTGAAGCAGGCTTTAGTAGTAGAATTTGAAAACAAAAATGGCGAGTGGATAGGGAATTTTCTGGAAAGACAGACAGACACACTCCAGGATTGAGAGTTGGCGAGATCCGATCGGAGCGACTGCCCACCCTCCTGTATATTTTAGCAGCTGTAGGCCAATAACTCAATAATTCATGGGATGGAGAGAGATGGATTTTTTACAGTGTGGACTGGACCCCACAGGCCTGGGGTCCTAACTCTCCTATCCACCCGAGGTCAGGGAGCAGTCACGGACTACATTCACTTGTCGAAACGCAGCACCTTCCTCCGCACACCTTCTGTTTAATTCATAGCAATCGTTCACTGTCTTTCCAACTCCTCTAGCTCTCAGGTATAATCGTAAAAGAGACAGGAGGAGGGAAAAGTTAACGGTCAGGGGAGTCAGAGGTGGCCAAATGTGTGGGTTAAATATGAGGTTTGGGGTAACTGGAGAAAGTGGGGAGACTGGAGCCACATAGCGAAAATGTAGTATACCAAACCTGCCATTTTTGTAGGGCTGTAGGTGATCAAATAAATATAATATTGTTTTGTAGGAAGAGCAAGTGATGGGATTGAATGTCAGAGAGTATTTGGGCCTGTGTGTGTGTGCGCAAGTGCATGTGTTGTGTGGTTTGAGAAAGGTTGGGAGAAGCACCTGCATCTTCCAACCCCTTTTCAAACTGTGTATTTGTTTATGTTGTATCTTGAGATTTGAACTATGCAAAACAACTAAAGCACTAGAAGTAGAAAAGCACTCTAATAATAACAACAACAAAAAATGTTACTCTGCTTTAAAGTCAAAATAATTCCATATCTTCAGCTGATTGCCACCATCCATGATCCTTTTGACAGTTTTGGCAATGTGAATCTGCAACTGACCATGACATGTTTTGGCCAACATATGCCATCAACACTTTTGCATTCTGTATTTTTCTTTTTCTTTAAACCTAAACAAATACTGAGTGGCAGTATATGACTATAATAGAATAGCAGCTCATTCAAGTGTCAGAAGAAGCAATGGAATTTAACACGTCTTAAAGAGGTTCAAAGGTATTTTTTTTCCTTTCCTGCTCTTGTGTGTGTCCCGTTGGCTTCCCTCACGCCACATCATCTGATTCATTATTAAGCAGATGTAAGGTGTCTGTAGTCAGCCGCATGGAAACTACAAAACTCCTGTCTGCTCTCCGCACTTAGAGCAGGGAGGCAGTGGGACACATTTGCATGGATCAACAGAGTGAGCTGTGGCGGAGCGGGTAGGGGGGCAGCGGAGTGTGTTAATATGCAGGAGAGGAGGCAGATTATCACAGGATTTATGGATAATGTGATGGACAGATGACCGGTAAATATGAGCACAGGGCTCAACTGCAAATAATGCCTTTATTTGTCTTGTTTTACTAATTACATCTAATAATCCACTGAGACGAGAAATGTACCTAAATTATTTGTCACATTAGATGGAATTCAAAAGCTCCGCAAGAGGAACAGGGAATAATCTGGTGCGTTTATGAACATGGACATTGTTTGACAGATTATGGACAATGACTCTTATGTGTTATATTGTTATATTTCTTAAGTGTTCTCTAATTGTTTGATTTTCTATCTGCTGTTGGTGCTCTTTGAGACAATTGGTGCTGTGATTTTGGGCTATATAAAAAGATTCGACAGCAGACTGAATGCAAGTCAGATAGTAGTAGAAGCAGCAGTTGTAGTAGTAGTTGTAGTTGTAGTAACATGCACCATAGGTACAATCGTCCTGCAAAGTTAGTCCTGAGTTTGTATTCGTATAGTGGAAGTATACTGTAGTACTTCAAACTGAAATTATTCTTTTTAAAATAATACCTAACCTTAAGTATTCAGAGAAACCTTTGATGCAAGTAAAGCATTCTAGTGTCAAGGGCTGTGTCTGTGATGGATCATAAAATAAAACATGAAAGTAATAATTTCCTATGTATTATTAAAAGTGTAACTCTTATATTAATAATCAGCTAAACAAATCAGACAAAGTAGTTGTGAGCAGATCATAAATCCATCATACTGTATATACCCCAGTCTCTGCGCTGTCCCATGTTGCTTATGAGCCTCACACACCAGATTCAGAAATATCCTTCAGGAGCGCCTTAAAACATCATTGGGTCGTTACAGTTATGGTTTTCATCTCCTGTATGGATCCTCCCTTTGATTATTGCCTCCCTCCATCTTGTTTGTATTCGACTCTGCGCCTAGTCTCCAGCCGTTTTTACTGCGTACACTCCACAGATACAAATATTACCAGAGCAAATTGCTGTGTGGACCGGATTAAATGAAATAAAACCATTTTGCTCTCACGTAATTACCCCCAAATCCTGGAACGGCCGAGGAAGTGAGTTTGTGTAAATAACTGCTTGGCCTCTTCAAGCCTCGCGGCATAAATTTGTGAAAGTGAAAAAAAAAAAAACATCTTGCAAATAAGCACTCGCAGCGTTGGCCATTGTAATTTAATGATCTCATACTTTCATCATATCATAACGGGCCTTATTTGTCACTTTGGAGCAATTAAACACAAAATCACCCTCTGCCCATAAAAAACAAAAACAAGGAAAGCAATTAGAGCAACTTTTAAGTAATCCCTGTAGCATCTAAATATTATTACAGTGGTGATAAAGATTGTCTAAGCGATTATCCAACAGCAAGGAAGCCTCCAAGGGACAATTCTGTTATATTTTCTAATAATTTTCCAACATTAGCCACAAATGAGGTAAAGAGTACTTTTCCTTGTCAGATATTGAACTGATAACTTGAGTGTTGTATCTCACGGCCCTTTTGCTAGAGTTTCTTTTTTACCTCCTCTGACAGACTCTGTGTCCCTGCTGCTGCTGCTGCTGCTGCTGCTGCTGCTGCTGCTGTTGCTGCTGTAAAATGGGTGATGCCATAACTCAGGCCTCTGTCTGTGCCTCATCCATCCTGCCACAGAGATGATCTCTGAAGAAAAGCACTGTGTCTGCTTCCTAATATGCTTCATGAGGTGTGTAATTCACTGCGCTTCAGAGGGGAGCCATTTGTCTTGGGGGTTAACTAAGTGACACAACAGCACTTCCCGGCCTGTTACCACCGTGGGACATGCTGAACTAATCACAGCAGGTAAAGGAATGGAGCATCTCTCGCTTAAGCAATTAAGCATCAAGATTTGTTCAGGAAGTC